GTCTATCTTCCCGTCCCTTTGGATTCACTTCTCCGCCAGTCCTACCTTTCAGAAAGTGGTTGATTTTCTGTTTCTAGAATTGCTGTTCTTCTTCTCTTCGATCTTCCGTTGGATTTTTAGGTGTTTGCAATCTTTAGATAAGCTATCTAGCTGATCTCCCGCAACCTGAAGTAGTCTCAGCTGCTACTTCTCCGCCATCTTGACTCCTCCCCGATTTTACTGTATCTTTTGCATGCTGGGTGAGAAGGTAACAGATGCCTCTCCCTTCTCGTATCTTCTGGCATAGGTACGACAGCTCTCGGGCCTGATCCTGAATCAGGGAATCATATTTCCCAGGCCAGGAGGCTGATCTCGGTTCCTCTGCCAGCTTCCCTTCCACTCCAGTTTTCGGGAGCTGGGCCTCTAGCTGGGACACTCTGGATCAGACTCTCCAGATCCTTTTTAGCCTGAAGCTCTGGGGGATAGAAAGCCCCAGGGCCATCAGACAGCCACCCCTCATCCTCATCAGTGACACTGTGAGGTGAAGATCCCTCGAGGGTGTCAACGGCCTTCAGCTTTTGCGGTCTCTCCAGACTAGATGAATAATCACTAGTAACTGAGAGAGACCAGACCCAGCTCTTGAGGTTCTGGATGATCTTGTTGGCATTCTGCAGCTGGGCCTTCAGGTCTCTGATGTCCTTCTGCAGGAGAGAGATGTCTTCCGACTTTCCGTATGCACAGAACTCCTCCTGCTTCCCTCGAGAGCTCTCCAAGGGCTTCTTCCCTGGGGGGCTAGCCGCTGAGGAGCCCAGGCGCCCCTCCGTCAGGGCTGTTCCCCTGAGGCTGTCGTGTTCCTCACACTCGGGACTGGTGCTCTCCTCCCGTTCAGCTTCATTCTCATTTCGGCCGCAGGTCTCATAGCCCAGATCCTGGAGGTCCACCTGCACCTGCTTGCTGTCCTGCTTCACCAAGGATTCACTAAGCATGACTCTGTATTTCTCCAACTGGTTGGCCTGGGCAAAGACCGTGGCTTCTGATATCAGCAGCTTTTCCTGGAGGTCCTGGTAGCATTGTCTGCACTGGGCCAGCTGGGAGCGCAGGTGCTTGGTGGATCCAGGAAGGCTAAATTCTGATGGAGTCCCAGGGTCTTGGGCCTGGGGCCGGTTATCCAGTTGGTGGCTGTCCACGGCGAGGGCAGCCCCAAGGTCAAGACTCTGGGGTCTGGGGCAGAGTGTTATGGTCAAGTGCTCCTCTTCCTGGCATCGGGGCTTCTCAGGAGAACAGACCAGCTCTGTGTTCATTCTGTGGATCGCCCGGACCAGGCGAGCAAGGAGCTCTGGGATAAGCTTGCTATTCCCATCCTTGCTGCTCAGCACGAGCTGTTCTTTGAGGCTGATAATGTTGTGGGCATTCTTCAGTTTTTCCTGGAGCTTTCTGAATTCAGCCTGAAGGCCATTCTCATTCAGACCCCCTCTGGCTACCACAGTTTCCACTGCCACCTCGCCCTTCTCCTTGTCTTCCTCGATCTCCCATCCGTCAGACATTGCTTCTCCCATCTGCTCTTTCAGCTCTGCATTCTCAAGGCAAAGGCTCAGCATGGTGTTCCTGATGTGGGCCACAGAGGAGAATCCTGCTTCCTCAATTTGAGCCTTTAGCTCTTTCAGTTGCTCTTTCAGTTCCCCCTCAGCTCTCCTCTTCTCCTCTAAGTGTTGGTGGATCTCTGCCCTCAGGTGGAGCATTTCCTCCAGAAGACCTCTGTTATTGTCCCCTCCTGCTGAGGAAGGAAGAGGAAGACATACATTCTGGGTCTCCACAGCTGCCAGGCTTTTCTCCAAGGCCACCTTGATGAGACAGGACCAGAGTGTGGATGCTGATTTCTTCTCTCCCTGGGGAACCGAATCTCCTGAGAGGCTTCTTAGAAGACAGAAAATTTCCTTCACGCCACACTATATGTCACTGTTAACTTTTTAAACAAAGCTTTATTGTTTTGGTATTTTTTTAAAGATTTTATTAATTTATTTGACAGATCACAAGTAGGCAGAGAGAGAGAGAGGAGGAAGCAGGCTCCCCGTTCAGCAGAGAGCCCGATGCCGGGCTTGTTCCCAGGACCCTGGGATCATGACCTGAGCTGAAGGCAGAGGCTTTAACCCACTGAGCCACCCAGGCGCCCCTGTTTTGGTATTTTTTTAAAGATTTTATTTATTTATTTGACAGAGATCACAAGTAGGCAGAGAGGCAGGCAGAGAGAGAGAGAGAGAGAGGAGGAAGCAGGCTCCCCGCTGAGCAGAGAGCCCCATGTGGGGCTCGATCCCAGAATCCCGAGATCATGACCTGAGCCGAAGGCAGCGACTTTAACCCACTGAGCCACCCAGGCGCCCCCTGTTTTGGTATTTTTAATATGGTTTTTTATTGTACTATATTACAGCTTCATATTCTTTCACCTTAAAATTGCTATGAAATTTGTTCTGTTATCTTCCCATAATTGCTACCAGAATTAATACTGCTAATACTGAAAGAGCTAATCCAGGAATTTAGTAGAATCATCTATTTTTATTTTTATTTATTTTTTTAAGATTTTATTTGACAGAGAGAGAGATCACAAGCAAGCAGGCGGGGTGTGGGGGAAGCAGGCTTCCTGCTGAGCAGAGAGCCCGATGTGGGGCTCGATCCCAGGACCCTGAGATCATGACCTGAGCCAAAGGCAGAGGCTTAACCCTCTGAGCCACCCAGGCACCCCTATCTATTTTTATTATTGCTGAATTAATAAGGCAAAAGAAATCCTTTCTGATGATTGCTTTTAGTTGGTCATAACTCTTATTTTCCCCCTTCATTCTGTTGATAACACTTCTTTGATTATGTTAAAAATTCAGGAATTATCTTGTGGCATACTTCTTTGCCTTTTAATATTGGTAAACTCTGATGTTATTTCTTTGGGTCTTTCAGCTTCTCTCCATTTTCCTGTCATCTAGATGCTGTTGATTTCTTAGTCTTTCTCTCCAACCCTTCTGTTAAGGCTGTATGTCCCCCTGTACTCTGTTTCTCCAGAGCACAGCACGTGTACATCAGCAATAACTTGTCCTCGAATTTATTCTGTGTTGACCTCTTGCCACCTGTTGGTGAGTTCTAGGAGCAGTCTTGAACATATTTGTATCTCTAGGGTTAACTGAGGCCTGTATAAGTAGTCAGCTAATAACATTTTCTGTGAATGAAACAATGCTAGGCATTCAGTAGGTTAATTCTTTCCATTTCCCTCACCCTCAGGTAGAGCACTGGAATAGAAGGTTCAGATTCTCCATAGAAAGTTAAATAATGCTGTAGAGACTATTATGTGACTTTCATTCCTGAAAATATCCTAGTGAGTAGAACAGAAACGGGAGATACCCTTTATGTGACTGAAATGTCTTCTTGTAGAGGAACATCTGATTTCTTTTTTAGAAGATAAAAAATGCAAGGTAGGATTGTGTGCCAGGTTTACAACGTATCTGATATGCAGAAGGACCTGTCAAAAAGAAGAAGACATCTAGCATATGAAATTCTTTAAGGTATTTTGGATTTCATCTAAGATGTGTTTTATCTTTTGGTCAACCAGTTGCTGCCATTAATGTTCTAAATTAAGTGTCTTAACATAAATTTATTATTAATGAAATTCTCTTAAAATTCAACCTCAGGGGACAGAGTTTCATGAATCTTTCATATAGTTGTTTGTAGTGCTGGGAGATACCATCATTTTAAAAACTAGAGAGGGTGGACTTAGTGGGGCAGAGGAAAAACAGGTGAATGAAACTCAAATTTAAAGATTTCCTCTTTACAATGTGAAATTATACTTCATCCCTTGGGTGACATCTAGAGTGACCTGCCATTTCCTGAGATCATCATGTAGCAGAAAGGGTTAATAATTATTATTTTAGACACTGAGCCTATTTCATTTCATATAGACAAATATTTCCAAATTGCCCTTCATAGGGAATATACCAATGTTTATGCCTACCTACACCAGTCTATTTTTTATTAGGTTCAGTTGGCTATGTGTAGTACATCATTAGTTTTTGATGTAGTGTTCAGTGATTCATTAATTGCATATAACACACAGTGCTCATCACGACACGTGCCCTCCTTGATACCCATCACCCAGTTACCCCATCCCCCCTCCCCGAGTTCCTCTCTGAAACCCTGAGTTTGTTCCTGGAGCCCATAGTCTCTCAGTTTGTCTCCCTCTCTGATTTCTCCCCCTTCAGTTTTCCCTTCCTTTCCCTTTGGTCCTCCACGCTATTCGTTATGTTCAACATATAAGTGAAACCATGTGATATTTGTCTTTCTCTGCTTCACTTATTTCACTTAGCATAATCCCCTCCGGTTCCATGCATGTGGATGCAAATCCTTTCTCATGCCTGAGTAATATTCCATTATACCACATCTGCTTTATCCATTCATCTCTTGAAGGGCATCTTGGCTCCTTCCACAGTTCGGCTATTGTGGACATTGCTGTTACGAACATTAGAATGCATGTGCCCCTTCTTCTCACTACATCTGTATTTTAGGGGTAAATACCCAGTAGTGCAATTGTTGGGTCATTAAGTCATTATTTTTAACATCTTGAGGAACCTCCATACTGCAAAACCAGTCTTTAGAATGTTGATCTTTTTATGTCAGATTTTAAAAGATGTACTACAATAGAGCTGTAATTGGCATTTTCATTAATTATATGGAGTGAAATTAAATATCTTCTCCTATATTAAAAAAAATACTTTCTCTAGTAGTTAATCACATCCTTGCCAAATTCTTTACTCACCATGCTTGCATAAGTAAAAGCCACAGGTTCCATTAATTATGTGATAGGACCATATAAAGTGGGTGACCTTGTTCTTATTTTCCCTTAGGAAGAAAGTATTAAAGCTGAGTTTTGTTTACTACACACCTCTAACGGATTTTTTCAGTTGAATTGTACCATTAGTAATCAGATGTAGTCATTTTGGGGAGTTAAAAATAATGAAATAGATTATTTGATGTTACAAAGAAGTGAAAAATCTCCCATTTTCCAGATCCCTTGTTTCTCTTATATTATCCTGTGAACTTACCAAGTGATCAGATAAATCAGGATGTTTTTGTAAATAGATGGGCATCTCCTGAATGGGTCCTGGGTGTAAACAGATGTGGTCAAAATTCCAAAAAAAAGTATGTGTGGGACACCTGGGTGGCTCAGTCAGTTAAGTGTTTGCCTTTGGCAAATTCCTGGGTCCTGGGATTAAGTCCCACATCGGACTCTCTGCCTGCTGCTCCCCCTGCTTGTGCTCTCGTGCTCTCTCTCTGGCAAATGAGTAAATAAAATATTTTTAAATATTTTAATATTTTAATATTTCATCACATGAACTCTCAAGGAAACAGATATACAGTGAGCCTCTCTGTAGCTGCCATCTTACTGTGTTTAAGTGGATACATTTCACTTAATGAGCTTATCCTTCATGTTTCATCCTTTCTGTGCTGCAGAAATGATTTTAGGCTCTCACCTCAAATTTTGCCACCCTTCACAGTCCTGAAAGTATGTTAAAGACCAGCTGTTCTTAAACCTGAGATTTATGTCCATGTAACTCCTAGAAATTATGAACTAGGTGATGACAAAGACAGAGGTGTCAGAAGTAAGGAAATGAGACAAAATAGAAAGATATTTGGAGAACTTGGTTGCTAAAGGATTTTCAAGAAGAACAAAAGAGAGACTCTTGTTTTTTTTGTTTGTTTTGTTTTGTTTGTTTTCCTGCTTTTTAAAAATTTGTTTAATTTATTTTCAGCATAACAGTATTCATTGTTTTTGCACCACACCCAGTGCTCCATGCAATCCGTGCCCTCTCCAATACCCACCACCTGGTTCCCCCAACCTCCCACCCCCTGCCCCTTCAAAACCCTCAGACTGTTTTTCAGAGGAGACTCTTGTTTTTTATTATTTTGAAATAATCACAATTAGCTAAAAAGTCATAATCAGTTGTAAAAAATATGAAATGACAGCGATAATAAGAAAGTTATGGTTCAAGTAATGTGAAGCCTGGGGTAAAATCTTCATGGATGTGGAAACACAGCCCTCACTAGTTAGAATGGCAAATTGCCAGTATTAGTTCTGCTATGACAAAGGTTCAATTTTTTTAAATTTTGATGAAAAATCGTGTTTCATGCTACTATCGCAGAAAACAACAGACTTCAGAATTTACGCAGCTAATATCACATACTTTGATTATTATATAACCGATTTTTTTTCCTGTTTGGGCAATTAGGTAGATGTGTTTGCCTGTACCCTCTCTCTACATAAGTTAATGCCTTTTGTATACTTTTTAAAAAATTTTTTTGTTAGATTTTAAGATGCTTAAGTTTAATGATTCTTGGTTTATAAAAGATCTTCACATCTTCTTATATAAAATGTGAAGAATTATTAGAGGAATAAATAAAGGAAAAAGAATGTTAGGCTTTATAAAAATACACTATTTCCAAAAGTGAGATATTACTATGTGCCTATCCCAAGTCCCCAATTTAGTTTTATCCACCAGAACTTTTGGTCTCTTAGAACTGATTATATTGTTAACATGTCTTATCAATCACACGTGATACAAAAGCGGTATCTTGAATCTGTGCTTAATTTTGGGGAAGTATTTCTTTAAATGGATAATGCTGATTTGTTTTTTGAAAAGATTTACATAAATTGTAACAATGGGGAAGATTTTTTTCACAAGGACTTTCAGACTGTTTCCTAGGTACCTAATAGTATTTGCATGAAGTAATCCATATAACGGGTAAGTATGATGATCTGTAAGGTAGTGAGTATATCAAGATTCCAGTGGACTAAATTATGACAGAACTAAAGGGCAAATGTCTTGAGGTAAGATGATGAAGTTGAACCTACTGTCCAGATCAGATAAGAGTAGAAGGCTGGTACTCATGGTTAATTTATGAACTGGTTATATCCTGTGATCATTTACCAAAAATTTTAGTTCCTTTATTATAAACAAATAATGTTTAGCATTCATGCTAATCCTTCTTTTCTATATTTTCACTTATATTAAGTTTATTTGGTCACAGATTTTATGTGGCCAAATGTATTGATACTTTCTTTTATAACTTCTGTTGTTTGAAAAATCTGTCACTCATCAGTAATACCACTCATATATGTTTTCTTCTGAAATATTTAATGCTTTAATGGTTTTGTTAAAAAGAGTAAACACTTTTACTAATAGGGTTCATTTCGGTGTATGTGTTGAGATGTGTAGGTAGGTTCTGCTCAGTAATTTTTTCTAAGATATTTTTATTTTCCATCGATTATTCTTTTGTAGACAACACAGCATTTAATAATTATATTTTTGGCCGCCGCCGCCGCTGCTGGTGTCGCCGCCGCAGCCGCCACCTCCGAGCTGCAAGCGGAGCGGAGGTCGGGACCGATCGCGAGCGCCGCCCGCCCCGCCGCCCCGCCGCCCCGCTGGCCGCCCCAGGGCCCGGCCAGCTCTACCGGGGCGCCCCGCGCCCCAAGCCCGCCTGCCCCGGCGGGCCCAGCCTGGCGTGACTGCCTGCCGCCACGCTCCTCCTCTTCCTCCTCCTCCTCCCGCGCTCCGCGGCCCGCCGCCTCCTCTGCCCGCCCCCGCCCCCGCCCCCGCGGCCCCCGCCGCGCCGCCGCCCTCTGTGCCCGGCGACGCCCCACCCACACCCCTGTCCCGCCCGCCATGCCCGGCCTGGCCGCTGGCAGCAGGGCCCGGGTCTACGCGGAGGTGAACAGCCTGAGGAGCCGCGAGTACTGGGACTATGAGGCTCACGTCCCGAGCTGGGGTGATCAAGATGATGACCAACTGGTTCGAAATCTTGGGCGGGGAAAGTACAGTGAAGTAGTTGAGGCCATTAACACAACCAACAATGAAAGAGTGGTTGTAAAAATTCTCAAGCCGGTGAAGAAAAAGAGGATAAAACGAGAGGTTAAGATTCTGGAGAACCTTTGTGATGGAGCAAATATCATTAAGCTGATTGACACTGTGAAGGACCCTGTGTCAAAGACCCCAGCTTTGGTATTTGAATATATCAATAATATAGATCTTAAGCAACTTTACCAGATCCTGACAGACTTCGATATCCAGTTTTATATGTATGAGCTACTTGAGGCCCTGGATTCCTGCCACAGCAAGGGAGTCTCGCACAGGAATTTCACATGTCCTGAGAGATCACCAGCAGAAAAAGCTGCGACTGATAGACTGGGGTCTGGCAGAGTTCCACCATCCTGCTCAGGAGTACAATGTCCTGTAGCCTCGAGATATTTCAAGGGCCTGGAGCTCCTTGTGGATGATCAGATGTATGATTACAGCTTGGACATGTGCAGTTTGGGCTGTATGTTAGCAAGCATGATCTTCCGAAAGGAGCCCTTCGTTCACGGACAAGACAACTATGACCAGCTTGTTCGCATTGCCAAGGTTCTGGCTACAGATGAGCTGTATGGGTATCTGAAGAAAGACCACATAGACCTAGATCCGCACTTCAACCATATCCCAGGACAACATTCATGGAAACACCGGGAAAACTTTATCCATAGTGAGAACAGACACCTCGTCAGCCCCGAGGCTCTAGATCTTCTAGACAAACTTCTGCGATACGACCATCAACAGAGACTGACTGCCAAAGAGGGCATGGAGCACCCGGACTTCTACCCCGTGGGGAAGGAGCAGTCCCAGCCTTCTGCAGACAACGCTGTGCTTTCCCAGTGGCCTCATGCAGCCCGTTGAAGACTTGGAAGGCGATGGGTCATGCAGCATTGATGCTTGCCAATAAAACCGACCAACCAAACCCAAATCTTGAAGTTAAACTACAGTGTGATAAAAAGAAATTCTAGTCATTCCTTCTAAATGCAAAGAAGAGTAAAGACCTAGCTGTCAAAAAGAAAGAACTCCCCCAGTACTAGTCTACAGGGTGCTGCCCTTGTGGCGGCAGGACCATGCCAAAAGTTCAGGATCTGAGGGAACACTCCCTTTGGAATGCATGGGGGAGGAGAGACTCAGAGTTGTTGTCCATTTACCTTTATTTAACAGGAGGCCACTGATGAATTAACCCGTTCAGTCAACAAGCTCTGAATATCTGACTTCCTGTCTACTCCATTGTGGTCTGGGTTTCCTTTGGTATGAGATTCAGGCTCAAGATTTAGCAAAACTTCAGCAGTCTATACTGACACACCAGCCTCATTTATGAAAAGGAGATATTAAAACAGTGACAGTATTTTTTTAAGCTCTTTTACAAATTCATGTTTTATGTATTTTTTTATGACATGAGCCCTCTGGGAAATGGACCTCACCCCTGCAGTTTCCATCTAAGTGTATTCATTTGGGAGCACACTGCGGGCGCTCACAAGAGGCCCCTTTGCCATCAGCAGGCATCACTTGAAACCTTGTGACGCCATGAACAGGTCCCTCTGTCTCACTAGAAGTGTGATGCGAAGTGTGTAACTTGGAGCTCACTGTAACTTTTGTTGATTTGCCTGACCATAAAACCTTGTTGCTATTTTTTCCGTGTAGCCTTTTTTTAATTTTTGCAGCCTTGTAAGGAAAACCTCACCATTTCCCAGCACATCCATCCCTGTGTGTGTGCCTGTTTTCATGCACCTCTCTAAAATAGAGACTTTCTGGTCATAACCATAAAGAAAGCTGGAAAGTCAGTCTTCAGGCAGGTTGGGGAATAAGGGAAACATCCTATTAGAATGTATTTAGGAAAAGACCTATTGAGTGAGAAAAATGTACTCTTCCCCCATCCCCCACCCTTTTTGCCTTTTTATCCCCGTGAGAAGCAATTTCCCTCTATAATCAGGGTAAGCTGCATTTGGAAGCTCCAAGAGGTCATATGCGAACGTGATGGCAGAGCTGTCCTTCTCATGGGCAGGGACTGGGGTCGTGTGTGCAGGTCCGGCCCGTTCCCCAGTGACTGAGCAATCATCATCTGGGGATCTGGGGGGTTAGTTGGAGCTCCTGGAGCCAGTGTCAAAGCTTGGGATCCATTGTGCCAGCCTTCATGTTAGCAAAGGAAGCTAGATTCTGTCTTAAAAAGTAAACAGGCTGATTTCATTTTGGGGACTTGTCACCAGTCTGATTTGCAAGCAGTCTCCTCCCCCAGCTGCAGAGCCATGTCACAGCTATGGGGACTTCAAGCTAGGCTAGAGCTCAAGGTGTCAACCCACATCAGACCGTAGGATTTCTTTATTAATTATTTAATAATGCCACACATTTTTATAAGGTTATTGTTTGTTTGAAAACATCTGTACATTCCATATTCCAATAAAATTGTATTGGTATTGGTAGTAAAAAAATTGTATTTTTACATTTGTGAATTATATATTTTATACTTTATTATCTAATGCTGAAAGCTTCATTTGTTAATCTTTTTTTTATTTATAAACATATAATATATTTTTATCCCCAGGGGTACAGGTCTGTGAATTGCCAGGTCTACACACTTCACAGCACTCACCATAGCACATACCCTCCCCAGTGTCCATAACCCCACCCCCCCTCCCTCCAGCAACCCTCAGTTTGTTTTGTGAAATTAAGAGTCACTTATGGTTTGTCTCCCTCCTGATCCCATCTTGTTTCATTTATTCTTTTCCTACCCCCCAAACCCTCATGTTGCATATCCACTTCCTCATATCAGGGAGATCATATGATAGTTGTCTTTCTCCGAATGACTTATTTCACTAAGCATGATATCCTCTAGTGCCATCCTCGCCAGCATCTATCATTTCCTGACTTGTTAATTTTAGCCATTCTGACTGGTGTGAGGTGATATCTCATTGTGATTTTGATTCGTATTTCCCTGGTGGCGAGTGATGTGGAACATTTCTTCATGTGTCTGTTGGCCATCTGGATGGCTTCTTTGCAGAAATGTCTGTTCACGTCCTCTGCCCATTTCTTGATTAGATTCTTTGGGTGTTGAGTTTGCTAAGCTCTTTATAGATTTTGGATACTAGCCCTTTATCTGATAAGTCATTTGCAAATATCTTCTTAATTAATTTTTTAATTTTTTTATAAACATATATGTATTTTTATCCCCAGGGGTACAGGTCTGTGAATCACCAGGTTTACACACTTAACAGCACTCACCATAGCACATACCATCCCCAATGTCTAAAATCCCACCACCCTCTCCCAACCCCCCCTCCCCAGCAACCCTCAGCCTGTTTTGTGAGATTGAGTTGTTTATGGTTTGTCTCCCTCCCGATCCCATCTTCTTTCATTTTTTCTTTTCCTGCCCCCCAAACCCCCACGTTGCATTTCCACTTCCTCATATCAGGGAGATCATATAATAGTTGTCTTTCTCCAATTGACTTACTTCGCTAAGCATAATACCCTCTAGTTCCAACCACGTCGTTGCAAATGGCAAGATTTCATTTCTTTTGATGGCTGCATAGTATTCCATTACATATATATATATATATATATATATATATATATATAATCACCTCTTCTTTATCCATTCATCTGTTGAGGGACATCTAGGTTCTTTCCATAGTTTGGCTATTGTTGACATTGCTGCTATAAACATTCGGGTGTACGTGCCCCTTCGGAGCACCATGTTTGTATCTTTAGGGTAAATACCCAGTAGTGCAATTGCTGGGTCATAGGGTAGCTCTATTTTCAGCTTTTTGAGGAACTTCCATGCTGTTTTCCAGAGTGGTTGCACCAGCTTGCATTCCCACCAACAGTGTAGGAGGGTTCCCCTTTCTCCACATCCTCACCAGCATCTGTCATTTCCTGACTTGTTAATTTCAGCCATTCTGACTGGTGTGAGGTGGTATCTCCTTGTGGTTTTGATTTGTATTTCCCTGGTGCCAAGTGGTGTGGAGCATTTTTTCATGTTTCGGTTGGCCATCTGGATGTCTTCTTTGCAGAAATGTCTGGTCATGTCTTCTGCCCATTTCTTGATTGGATTATTTGTTCTTTGGGTGTTGAGTTTGCTAAGTTCTTTATAGATTTTGGATACTAGCCCTTTATCTGGTAAGTCGTTTGTAAATATCTTCTCCCATTCTGTCAGTTGTCTTTTGGTTTTGTTAACTGTTTCCTTTGCTGTGCAAAAGCTTTTGATCTTGATGAAATCCCAATAGTTCATTTTTGCCCTTGCTTCCCTTGCCTTTGGTGATGTTCCTAGGAAGAAGTTGCTGTGGCTGAGGTCAAAGAGGTTGCTGCCTGTGTTCTCAAGGATTTTGATGGATTCCTGTCTCACATTGAGGTCCTTCATCCATTTTGAGTCTATTTTCATGTGTGGTATAAGGAAATGGTCGAATTTCATTTTTCTGCATGTGGCTGTCCAATTTTCTCAACACCATTTGTTGAAGAGGCTGTCTTTTTTCCATTGGACATTCTTTCCTGCTTTGTCGAAGATTAGTTGACCATAGAGTTGAGGGTTTATTTCTGGGCTCTCTATTCTGTTCCATTGATCTATGTGTCTGTTTTTGTGCCAGTACCATACTGTCTTGATGAGGACAGCTTTGTAATAGAGCTTGAAGCCTGGAATTGTGATGCCACCAACTTTGGCTTTCTTTTTCAATATTCCTTTGTCTATTCAAGGTCTTTTCTGATTCCATATAAATTTTAGGATTATTTGTTCTATTTCTTTGAAAAAAATGGATGGGATTTTGATAGGGATTGTATTAAATGTGTAGATTGCTCTAGGTAGCATAGACATTTTCACGATATTTGTTCTTCCAATCCATGAGCATGGAACCTTTTTTACATTCCTTTGTGTCTTCCTCGATTTCTTTCATGAGTACTTTATAGTTTTCTGAGTATAGATTATTTGCCTCTTTGGTTCGGTTTATTCCTAGGTATCTTATGGTTTTGGGTGCAATTGTAAATGGGACTGACTCCTTAATTTCTCTTTCTTCTGTCTTGTTGTTGGTGTAGAGAAATGCAACTGATTTCTGTGCATTGATTTTATATCCTGACACTTATTTGAATTCCTGTACAAGTTCTGGCAGATTTGGAGAGGAGCCTTTTGGGTTTTCCACATGTATTATCATATCATCTGCAAAGAGTGATAGTTTGACTTCTTCTTTGCCAATTTGGATGCCTTTAATTTCCTTTTGTTGTCTGATTGCTGAGGCTAGGACTTCTAGTACTATGTTGAATAGCAGTGGTGATAATGGACATCCCTGCCATGTTCCTGACCTTAGCGGAAAAGCTTTCAGTTTTTCTCCATTGAGAATGATATTTGCGGTGGGGTTCTTGTTCTTTCTTTTAGTAATGTATTGTGTCACATTGATTGATTTGCGGATGTTGAACCAACCTTGCAGCCCTGGAATAAATCCCACTTGGTCATGGTGAATAATCCTTTTAATGTACTGTTGGATCCTATTGGCCAGTATTTTGGTGAGAATTTTCGCATCTGTGTTCATCAAGGATATTGGTCTGTAATTCTCTTTTTTGATGGGATCCTTGTCTGGTTTTAGGATCAAGATGATGCTGGCCTTATAAAATGAATTTGGAAGTTTTCTTTCCATTTCTATTTTTTGGAACAGTTTTGGGAGAATAGGAATTAGTTCTTCTTTAAATGTTTGGTAGAATTCCCCTGGGAAGCCATCTGGCCCTGGGCTTTTGTTTGTTTAGAGATTTTTGATGACTGTTTCAATCTCCTTACTGGTTATGGATCTGTTCAGGTGATCTTTTTCTTCCTGGTTCAGTTGTGGTAGTTTATATGTCTCTAGGAATGTATCCATTTCTTCCAGATTGTCGAATTTGTTGGTGTAGAGTTGCTCACAGTATGTTCTTATAATTGTTTGTATTTCTTTGGTGTTGGTTTGATCTCTACTCTTTCATTCATGATTTTATTTATTTGGGTCCTTTCTCTTTTCTTTTTGATAAGTCGAGCCAGGGGTTTATCAATCTTACTAATTCTTTCAAAGAACCAGCTCCTAGTTTCGTTGATTTGTTCTATTGTTTTTTTTAGTTTCTATTTCATTGATTTCTGCTCTGATCTTTATGATTTCTCCTCTCCTGCTGGGTTTAGGCTTTCTTTGTTGTTCTTTCTCCAGCTCCTTTAGGTGTAGGGTTAGGTTGTGGATTTGAGACCTTTCTTGTTTCTTGAGAAAGTCTTGTGTCGCTATATATTTTCCTATCAGGACTCCCTTTGCTGTGTCCCACAGATTTTGGACTATTGTGTTTTCATTATCATTTGTTTCCATGAATTTTTTCAATTCTTCTTTAATTTCCTGGTTGACCCATTCATTCTTTAGAAGGATGCTGTTTAGTCTCCATGTATTTGGGTTCTTTCCAAATTTCCTCTTGTAATTTGAGTTCTAGCTTCAGTCTGGTCTGAAAATATGCAGGGAATGATCCCATCTTTTGATACTGGTTGAGACCCGATTTATGACCCAGGATGTGGTCTATTCTGGAAAATATTCCATGTGCAGTAGAGAAGAATGTGTATTCTGTTGCTTTGGGATAGAATGTTCTGTATATATCTGTGATGTCCACCTGTCCAGTATGTCATTTAAGGCCTTTGTTTCCTTATTGATCTTTTGCTTGGATGATCTGTCCATTTCAGTGAGGGGGAGTGTTAAAGTCCCCTACTATTATTGTATTATTGTTGATGTGTTTCTTTGATTTTGTTATTAATTGGTTTATATAGTTGGCTGCTCCCATGTTGGGGCATAGATATTTAAAATTGTTAGGTCTTCTTGTTGGGCAGACCCTTTGAGTATGATATAGTGTTCTTTCTCATCTCTTATTACAGTCGTTGGCTTAAAATCTAGTTTATTTGATTGCCACCCCAGCTTTCTTCTGTTGTCCATTATCATGGTAAATTGTTTTCCACCCCCTCACTTTAAACCTGGAGGTGTCTTCAGGTCTAAAATGAGTTTCTTGTAGGCAGCATATTGATGGGTTTGTTTTTTTATCCATTCTGATACCCTGTGTCTTTTGATTGGGCATTTAGCCTATTTACATTCAGGGTAACTATTGAGAGAATTGAATTTAGTGCCATTGTGTTGCCCATAAGGTGATGTTACAATATATTGTTTCTGTTCCTTTCTGATCTACTACTTTTAGGATCTCGCTTTGCTTAGAGGACCCCTTTCAATATTTCCTGTAGAGCTGGTTTGGTGTTTGCAAATTCTTTCGGTTTTTGTTTGTCCTAGAAGCTTTTCATCTCTCCTTCTATTTTCAATGATAGCCTAGCTGGATATAGTATTCTTGGCTGCATGTTTTTCTCGTTTAGTGCTCCAATTATATCATGCCAGTTTTTTTCTGGCCTGCCAGGTCTCTGTGGATAAGTCCACTGCCAATCTAATGTTTTTACCCTGTATGTTACAGACTTCTTTTCCTGGGCTGCTTTTAGGATTTTCTCTTTGTCGCTAAGACTTGTAAATTTTACTATCAGGTGACAGGGTGTGGACCTATTTTTATTGATTTTGAGGGGGGAATCTTTGCATCTCCTGGATTTCGATGCTTGTTCCCTTTGCCATATTAGGGAAATTCTCTACAATAATTCTCTCCAATATACCTTCTGCTCCTGTCTCTCTTTCTTCTTCTTCCAGAATCCCAATTATTCTAATGTTGTGTCGTCGTATGGTGTCATTTATCTCTCGAGTTCTCTCCTCGTGGTCCAGTATTCGTTTGTCTCTCTTTTGCTCACCTTCTTTATTCTCTGTCATTTGATCTTCTATATCACTAATTCTTTCTTCTGCCTCATTTGTCCTAGCAGTAAGAGCTTCCATTTTTGATTGCACCTCATTAATAGCTTTTTTTATTTCAGCTTGTTTAGATTTTAGTTCTTTTATTTCTCCAGAAAGGGCTTTTATCTCTCTGGAGAGGGTTTCTCTTATATCTTTAATGCCTTTTTCGAGCCCGGCTAGAACCTTGAGAATCATCATTCTGAACTCTAGATCTATCATATTACCAATGTCCATATTGATTAAGTCCCTAGCCTTTGATACTGCCTCTTGTTCTTTTTTTTTTGTGGTGAGTTTTTCCACCTTGTCATTTGTCCAGATAAGAATATATGATGGAGCAAATGAAATACTAAAAGGGTGGCAAAGTCTCCAGGAAAACGTGCTTTAACCAAATCAGAAGAGACCCCAAAACATGGGAGGGAGAAAGGGGATAAAAAAAGAAGTTCAGAATAAAAAATTTAAAAAAGAAAACAAATAAAGAAAAAAATATTTAAAAAGAAAAAATATATGTATATATTAGACTGGTGACTAGAGCACGGTCACTCACTTAATTTTGGGAGTATTTTGGTCTCTTAGAAGAAACTATCTCCCAAAATTTTAAAGGATGAAAACATATATAAGGGTAGACACAATGAAGGGATGGAATAAGCCTATAAAGATGAGAAGTTTTTTTAATTTCTAAGAAATGAGTTGACAAAGCAAGTTGGTTGAGAGAATAAAGAAAAAGAAAGTGGAGAGAATTTGCTTGGGCTGGAAACTAGAACAAGCCCAGAGCTAGACTTAGGGTATATTTTGATCTATTAGGAGAAGTTGTACCCCAAGTTTTTTAGAAGAAAAACCCTATGTGTATACAAAAAATATGTTAGATACAATGGAGGAAAAAATATGACTATAATAACAAAGGTTCAAAAAAGATTATTAGTTTTTTGAAAGGTATTGTTAAGATAAACTAATTAAAAAATGTTAAAAGAGGAAAGGGTAAAGGTTAAAAAAAAAAAGGAAAAAACTTTAGCAGAAAAGAAAAAAAATATATTAACTGCAAGACTAAAGAATTATGGGGAGAAAGCCATGAATTCTTTGCTTTGCTTTCTCCTCCTCTGGGCTTCCGCTGTTCTCCTTGGTAAGTGAACTTGGTCTTGGCTGGGTTTCTTGTTGATCTTCTGGGGGAGGGGCCTGTTGTAATGATTCTCAAGTGTCTTTGCCCAAGGCAGAATTGCCCCACCCTTATCAGGGACCAGGCTAAGTAATCTGCTCGGGTTTGCTTTTGGGAGCTTTTGTTTCCTGAAGGTTTTCCGTAGAGTTCCAGAGGATGGGAATGATAATGGCGGCCTCCCAGTCTCCGACCCAGAGGAGCTGAGAGCTCGGGGCCCCGTTCCTCAGTGCGCCCTCAGAGAAAAGCACTCAATCACTCCCGTCTCCCTGGCCTCCGGCCGCACTCCGAGCTCACCCATCCTGTGACCAGTTCAAGGTAACCCTAAGCTGAGAGCTCACTCCTCAGCTCTGGCTCTGTAGCTGGCTTCCCCGTTCTAATACCTGTGAGCTCTGTGACACTCAGACACCCCCAATCCTTCTGTGACCCTGCAGGACCTGGGGCTACGCTGACCCCTTGTGGACTTCACCCCGGTTTAGCCTCTGGAGCGATGTCCCTCAGTGGAGCAGACTTTTTTTTTTTCTTTTTCTTTTTTTTTTTAAAGATTCATTTCTTTATTTGACAGACAGCGATCACAAGTAGGCAGAGAGGCAGGCAGAGAGAGAGAGGCAGAGAGAGAGGGGGAAGCAGGCTCCCTGCTGAGCAGAGAGCTCGATGCGGGGCTCGATCCCATGACCCTGGGATCATGACCTGAGCCGAAAGCAGAGGCTTTAACCCACTGAGCCACCCAGGCGCCCCTGGAGCAGACTTTTTAAAAGTCCTGATTTTGTGCTCCATTGCTCCACTGCTTGCCGGGAGCCAGCTCCTCCCCCTGCGGTTATTTTCCCGTCGCTTTGGATTCACTTTTCCACCAGCCCTACCTTTCAGAAAGTGATCGATTTTCTGTTTCTAGAATTGTTGCTCTTCTTCTCTCTGATCTCCTGTTGGATTTTTAGGTGTTCTCAATGGTTAGATAAGCTATCTAGCTGATCTCCTACTACCTGACGTAGTCTCAGCCTGTTACTTCTCCGCCATCTTGACTCCTCCCCCAATTTTTAAATTTTTATTTTATTATGTTATTTTGATAAATAATGTTTATCAGAAATATTATTCCATGGTAAAAAATTACTTTAGGAAGGGTGTAGTGAAAAAAAAGAAAATCTGCCTTTGTTGTACAGACATTTACTTTGAAAAATTGTTCAGAAACACTAGTTATTGATTAAGGTCGTTTTGATAAAAATCAGTTCTTTTGAAAGTACTTTTTTTTGCTCTTATAAAAAGATATGGGTATTTATCATCTCTCTACATTTAGTATATTTTATAAATATTTAGGGGACATTTTGAAGTAGTATTATTTATTTGTAGGTCAAAAAGCAAATTGATTCTATGGATGACCCTGATGACTTAACTCCGTCATCTGAAACAATTTCAGAGGATTTCCACATGCCTTGCTCTAATTATATGATTTGCATGTAGCTAATTGAACAAATTGGCATGGACTGTAAAGGTAAGACCATTGTGTAAATATGAAGCCTTTGTATGTACATTACTATAGTAATATGTGCACTTCTTGTCTAGTGTTGCACCATACAACACTGATGTGTTATAGAGCTACTCATCTCAGAAATACATTTTATGTGAAAATAGAGAAATGTTGAATACTTTTCACCCAAAAGCTGTAATTTCCACCATACTTTTTGTCATGGGAATGGCACACCTGATGTGTGTTAACTCTCCTCTTCTGTGCCTTCACCCAAGGTCAGGTTACCACTATTTTTGTCCTAAAATACTGAAATGACCTCAGGACTGTTTTCCCTGTCATTCCACCTCCCAGAATCTTGGTCTACACTGCAACCATAGTTACCATATATTTTTAAAATTTATATTTCATCACATTACTCCCTTGCTTAAAGCTTAGCTATTACTTCTCATCGTTCTGGGGTGAAAGACCACAGTTCTCAGCTTCATCTTGGATTGTTTCATATCTATCTTTCTGTATCTCAGCCACTGTTTTAGACATTTTTTCTTATAATAGAGCTTTTTTCCCCTCAACAGCTTTAGTTAGGGCAACCGCACATGTATGAAGTGTATAATTTGATAGTTTTGACATATGTATATGCATATAAAACCATAATTGTAATTCAGGCAGTTAATAACACTTAAGTCTTGTGTCTCTTTGTATTCCCTCATTACGAAACTGCCGAATGGTTTTCTAAACTAGTTGCACCATTTTCAACTCCCACCAGCAATGTATGAGAGTTCTGATTTCTCCCTATATATTCATGAACACTTAGTATTGTCAGTTTTTTAAATCTTAGATGTTCCAGTGGGTATGTAGTATATTTCCCTAATAACTTATCATGTTGAGCATATCTTTGTGGGCTTATTTGCCATCTGCATATCTTCTTTGAACTGTCCAAATCCTTTGTCATTTTAAAAATGAGGTTTTCTTACCTGTTGAGTTTTGAGAATTCTTTGTGTATTCTAGATATAGTTCCTTTATCACCTGTATTTTTTTTTTGCAAAGATTTTCTCCCAGTCTGTGACTTTTCATTCTCTCAGCAGTATCTTTTGAACAGCAGTTTTTCTTTTTGATGAAGTCCAGTTTATACATTTGTTCTTTTATGGATTTTTGCTTTTGGTGTTCCTATCTAAGAAATCTTTGCCTAGCGCAAGGTCAGAGGTTTTCTCTCATGCTTTCTTTTAGAAGTTTTGCAGTTGAATAACAAAGTTTTATGTTTTAGGTCTTACATTTAGATCTGTGATCCATGAGATCCAGTTTGCATTCTTTTTTTTTTTTTTAAGATTTTATTTATTTATTTATTTGACAGAGAGGGAGCACATGAGCAGGCGGAATGGCAGGCTGAGAGAGAGGGAGAAGCAGGCTCTCTGCTGAGCAGAGAGCTGGACACAGGGCTCAATCCCAGGACCTGAGATCATGACCTGAGCCGAAGGCAGAGGCTTAACTGACTGAGCCATGCAGGCGCCCCCATTTTGAACTCTTTTTTATTTATGATACAGGGTATGGATCCAGGTTCATTCTTGAACTTGGTAAGTTTGCTTATTAGTTTTAGTAGCTTTTTTAAAAATTCTGTCAGATTTTTCTACATTACCAAAGTTTATCAAACCTTTTTTTTTTTAAGATTTTATTTATTTATCTGACAGACAGAGATCACAAGTAGGCAGAGAGGCAGGCAGAGAGAGAGAGGTGGAAGTAGGCTCCCCACTGAGCAGAGAGCCCGATGCGGGGCTCGATCCCAGGACCCTGGGATCATGACCTGAGCCGAAGGCAGAGGCTTTAACCCACTGAGCCACCCAGGCACCCCTATCAAACCTTTTTTAACTACTATTTTACTAATTTCTTAAGGTGGAGCCAAAGGTCATCAATTTGAGACTTTTCTTCTTTTTTAGTATATACATTCAGTGCTATAAATGTTCATATGAGTGCTGCTATTGCAAGATTCCAGAAATTCTTATGTGTTATACGTTCATTTCCATTCAGTTCAGAATATTTTCTAATTTCTTTTTTCTTTACTTCTTTGACCCAGGGGTTATTTAAATATTTTATTTATTTGAGAGAGAGAAAGAAAGAGAGAGAGAAAGAACATGAACTGGCGGGGGGGGGGGGAGAAGACTCGCCTCTAAGCAGGGAGCACGATGCAGGACTAGATCCCAGGACCTGAGATCATGAACCGAGCCAAAGGCAGACACTTAACCGACTGAGCCACCCAGGCGCCCTGATCCAGGGTTTATTTAGATGTGTATTAACTAGTTTGCAAATATTTGAGTATTCCCCAGAGATATTTTTATTCTTGATTTCTAATTTGATTTCTTTGTGGTCACAGAACACAGTCATGACTTCAGTTCTTTTGACTTACTCCTTTTATTATAATTTATTTTATGACCCAGAATATAGTCTCTTTTGGTAAGTGTTGCATGGATGCTTGAGAAGAATGGTGGTGTTCAAGTCTACTATATCCTTGCTGATTTTCTGCCTATTGAAATCTCAGACTATAATTGTGAATTTGCTTGTTTTTCTGAAGTTCTGTCAATTTTTACTTTATGTATTTTGAAACTATTAATAGATGAATAAACATTTAGGATTATTATGCTTCTTTCAGTTGACCTTTTTATCATTATAAAATGAAATTATTTATTGCTGCTAATGTTTTTTGCTTTGAAATCTGTTTTGTCTGGTATTAATGTAACTGCTCAGGCTCAGCCTTCTTTTGCCAAGTGTCAGTTTGGTCTGTCATATTTCTGGCCTCTTAACACATTTTTTTTTTAATTTAAAGTGCATTTTTTTAATAGGTGGCAGATAGCTGGGTCTTCCTTTTTTATCCATTTTGGCGGTCTGCCTTTTCATTGAGGCTTTTAGACCATTTTCATTTTATGTGATTATTGCTGTAGTTGATTTGAATCTGTCATTATGTTGTTTGACTTCAATTTGTCCTTTCTGCTCTTTGTTCCATTCTCTTCTTTTTCTGCTTTCTTTTAATCAATCAATTTTTATGATTTATTTTTATTTATGTGTGTATGTGTTTGTTTGTATTTTGCTTACTAGCTATAACTCTTTAGTTTTGCTATTTTGGTGATTAGAGCTTAAAGTATGTGACTTAAGCATCATAGTCCTCCTTCTAGTAATGTTATAACACATCATATGTCGTTTAAGAATATTATAATGGGGGGCACCTGGGTGGCTCAGTTGGTTGGACAACTGCCTTCGGCTCAGGTCATGATCCCGGAGTCCCCGGATCGAGTCCCGCATGGGGCTCCCAGCTCCATGGGGAGTCTGCTTCTCCCTCTAACCTTCTCCTTGCTCATGATCTCTCTCTCAAATAAATAAATAAAATCTTAAAAAAAAAAAAAAAGAATATTATACTGGTTTACTTCCTTTTCTTCACTCCTAGCCAGATCCTTCTGGATCTGTTGGTTTATAGTTTTCATTAAGTTTAGAAAGGTTTTGGCCATTTTTTCTTTTCTTTTTAAAAAGATTTTCATTTATTTGAGAGAGAGAAGGAGAGAGAGAGAGAGTGCATGAGCCACGGGGGAGGGGCAGATGGGGAGGGAGAAGCAGACTTGCCTCTAATCCGGGAGTCCAACACGGGGCTTGATCCTAGGACCCTGAGATCATGAGATCATGACCTGAGCTGAAGGCAGACGCCCACTGACGAATCCACTCAGGTGCCCCCGTCATTTTTTCTTTGAATATTTTTTTCTAGTTCCTTTACTCTGCCTCTTTGGGGAACTGTATATTAGCTACTTGAGGTTTTCTCACAGTTTTCTGATGTCAAATTTCAGTCTTTTATTTTGTGCTGGCTAATATGTGTTTATTCCAATCCAGTGTGTTTTTCATGTCTGACATAATTTACATCTCTGTAAGTGCTATTTGGTTTTTTAAAAATAGCTTCTAATCCTCTACTTACGTTTTTACACTTTCTTTGGAGTTATAGCTAAGTTAATTACAAACAGTTTGATCCTTTCCAGTTCTGTTCTTATGAATTGTTAGGTGAATCCAGAGTAGTGTTCAGCCTAGAGCTCATAATTCCCCACTGCTGAGGCACGACCTACTTACTCTATTCATTGTGCTAGGGGTAATGAGTTTTTCCAGCATGGCTAAGGGGATAGATACCGCCCCTGGTGCCATGTGAGCACCAGGCAGAGTTTCCTCTGCTCTTTCCAGATGGATCTTTCCCCTGGTCACAGGAGATTTCCTTACGTGCATGCATTGGTTATTACTCTTCTGATCTCTGGGGTTCTTTCTTTGTTCTGCTTTCTCCTCACCAGTGCTTCGACCTCTGATCTCATCTGTCTTGGTTTCACCGGACTCAGTTTCATCACCTCAACTCAGGGAGTCTGGTAGAGCCTATCTCAGTTTTTTCACCTGTGTCATGGACTGGAAATTATCCCAAGGCAGTGAGCTCAGGTATGTGTTAGGCTAACTTCTTGTGTTTTCAGGGATCATTGTCCTTCATTGCTAGAATTCCTTTTTCTTGAAAATGATTTTAAAGTCTATTTTACCTGTTTTTGTTTGGCTTTTTTCAGATAGGAAGATAAATCAGTACCTGTTACTCCATCTTGGCCAGAAGCAGATTGCAATAGAACTTTGGCACGTGCTGTAGACTGTCTTTAATGCTCTCCTTCCTCCTTTGCTCACCTGCTTCCTGCTCCTCCTTCATTTCTCAGAATCGTTATCTCTTCCTCAGGGAAATCTTCCCTTCCCACTGTAGATCAAGTTATGTTATGTGATCACAGAACTCTTTTATTATAGGAACTATCTGAATTTATAATTGTTTTCTCCTTCACTAGACTTTAAGCTAAATAAAAGCCAGAGATCTGCAGAACTTAGTGTAATATCTTTTTTTTAAAATTTTATTTATTTGAGAGACAGAGTGCATAAGCTGGGGGAGGGGGAAGAGGCAGGGGGAGAAGCAGACTCCCCACTGAGTAGGGAGCCCAATGTAGAGCTTGATCCCAGGACCCTGAGGTCATGACCTGAGCTGAAGGCAGATGCTTAACCAACTGAGACACCCAGGCATCCCAGTAATATATTTTATATTGAAATCATTCAATATATATTTATTTAATGTATGAATGAGTGAATGTGAAAGCATACAGTCCTTTATATGGAAAAAGTACTCATATATTTTATTTCTTTTTCTTTTTTAAATAGTTAATTTACTGGAGAGAGAGTATGACTGGGGGGTGAGAAAGAACAGAGGTGGAAGGAGAGAGAGGGGAAAGAATCTCAAGCAGACTCCATGCTGAGCTGAGCCCAATGCAGTTCTCGATCTGACAACTCTGGGATTATGACCTGAGCCGACACCAAGAGTCAGATGCTTAACCAGCTGAGCCACCCAGGTGCCCTATATATTTTATTTGTTTTTGTTTTTTCTCTGATGTAGATTATGTCAGTTTATTGAAAATCCAGGATGCAGTTCTTTTATACGAAAGATTAATAGAACTTAAAAAAATCACTGTGGACAACTTAAAAGAAAAAATTTTTAAAATTGAAAATAAGGCTAATGGACTACAAAAGCAGCTATCAGAAACAAAAGAAATGATATCAAAGTTGGAGTTTGAAAAAGTAGAATGGGAGCAAGAACTCTGCAGTTTGAGGTATGATATCTTGGTTTTAAGGAAATACTTGAACTACTTACTTTTTTTTTTTTTTAAATAAGCTCCACACCCAATATATGTGGGGCTTGAACTCACAGCCGTGAGATCAAGAGTCACATGCTCTACCAGTTGAGCCAGCCAGGCACCCCTTGAATTATTTACTTTTATACTACAGATGTGTAGAAGTTTTGAAATTGCTAACTTACCTTCTGGGATTTTATAGGGAAGAAAGCTTCTTTAGTATTGTGAAGTATGAGATTCTTCAAAATAATACAGCAAGTTCTTAACAGTGAATACTTCTAATAATTTAATGAATATTCCAAATCATAATTTTAATGACCATATAGAAATCCACCATGTGGAAACCTCATTATTTAACAAATTGAATTTTGGGTTTCCCCCCCCACTTTTCTATGCTTTAATTAATGCTGTAAGGAATGTCTTTTATATAAACCTGTTTCTACATTTCTGGTTACTTGGAATAAATTCTTCAATGTAGTGTTTTTTTTCTTAAAGTATAAAAATTTTTTAAAAAGTTCTTTGATCCTATTTTTAAATTGGACCCATCAACAGTATAAAATGGCCATTTTTCTCAAGACAGAAAAATTTTTAAAAATTAGTTTTAAACATACAGTGTGACTAAAAAGTAAAATGGAAAATGATTACTGCTATGTTTTTTCAGCATCTCTCTTATATGAATTATAAATTCTTTATAAACAGCAACTTCTCTCTTAAAATAGTAACTAAATTATCTCTTCTATTGGGGGAGTAATTATGACTATGTGGAAAAAACAATAATTTTCCATTCTTTCTTGAATAATTTCTAAATTCCTTTCACTACAGTATCTCCCAGAGATATCTCCCAGAGATATTATACTAAGCAGCATAATGCTTTTTCATTGCTTCTTTTCAACTCTATATATATCTTTTGGAAGAGATTGAAGTGAGAAATTAAAAACATGAGCCCTAGAAAGGAAAAAAAATGAGAATGTAGAAATTTCATTTGGATAATAGACCAGCATATGTGGAACCAGATCATAACATGAGCTTTTTATTGCTTACAAAACAAATCTGAAAATTTATTTGCACATTTATTTGCAGATTTACTTTAAAACAAATAAAAGAAAGAACAACAAGTGCTGAAATGTTATATGAAAAGATTCAGGAGCAACTAACAAGAAAAGAAGAGCAGTATAATAAAGAAGTTGAAATGAAACAAGAACTTAATCTTAGAACCCTAGATATGAAATTGAGGACTGTAAGAAAGTATTTCAATCAGGTAAGTCTTTGATAAAAATTGCATATTTCCATCACTATTATTTATAATATCCCTTTGATTTAATGTATATTACTTAGGTATAAAATAATTTAAAAATTAGTTTTATACTAATAGGAACTATGATATTTATAGCTAAAATCATTAATTTATTGGAATTCTTGGCTTCTCATATAAGCTCTCTATATATTTTCTGAATGAAGGGATGGAGGGTAAATTGAGATAAATATGCATGTTGGCTCTTTTTTTTAAAGATTTTATTTATTTTTTGAGAGAGAGCATGAGTAGAGGAATGTGTAGAGGGGGAGGGAAAGGGAGGGGAAAGAATCTCAAACAGACTCTGAATGCAGAGCCTGACTCAGCGTTGGATCTTAAAACCTTGAGATCATGACCTGAGCTGAAACCAAGAGTAGGACACTTAACCAACTGAGCTACCCAGGTACCCCAATTTTGGATTTTTTATATTAAAATACAGGCTAAATGACCTTGAGACTATGATGGAATTAGTTAAATGTTTTGTAAAGAAATTTTATTTCACATACTATATCTACCTGTATTTTTACTCTATGACAAATTTAGCTGTCATTTAAATTAAAATTTGAGTTATTCATGTAGGATAAAAATCCTTGTATTTAAAAAGGCTACTTCTTTTGAACATTTTTTTTAAGTTCTCTTAAACTTTTGATTTTTTTTTTTTAACGGTGTCATCCAAAATCCTAATGAAAATATGTCTTGAGGCTGTGGAAGAATGGAATGATACTAAGAAACAACTTTGTTGAGAACAGGATGCCAGAATATTACAAGATAGAATTCTAAACAATCACCTCTGCAAACAAAAGGAGGTAGAAATGGATAACAAAAGGAGTTCTGTGGTATTTTCTTTAATTATTTTGAAGTATGTGTGTGTATGTATTTGTATGTGTATATATTTTATTTTTTGAAATTATTCTTTTTCTCCATGCATATAAATTTTTTTCTTCATGTGTGTATATATATGTATAAATATATATACACACATGTATATATATTTATATATATATATTTTTTTAAAAAACAACACTGCAGATCATGGAGGGCATAGAGGATTTTTAAAGCATATATATATATGTGCTTTAGGGGGGCACATTTTAGGGGGGCATAGGGGTCAGTGGCATTTTGGGTCCAGTGGATAAAGTAATATTCTTAATTTAAATGTATTCATCTGCAAGAATCAAATAATGACATTCTTAATGTCTTCATCCAAAGGGAGAAGCTTTTATTATTTTCCATAATCATAAGCTCAAAACTGTTGCAACTAACAACATATGTTTCAGTTTTTGGCAGTTATTTCCTCACCTCTCTCTTGTTTAGCTTAACACTTCCACAGATGAACAGGAGGAAATGTGTAGCCTGTTCAGAGACTTTATTTTGGATGTTTGTCTCTTACTTTTGAGAAAAGTAGCAATTTGCTCCAAGTAGTATATTATTTCATTATAAGGTGCCTTTGAAACAGTCATATGCTAATGATGATTTATTGATGAGTATTTTATTCCTAATAAAATAGCTTAGTGTATTTTCCCTATTTTATATTTATTACCATTTTAAACATCATGATGAGGAAAAATATTTATTGCAGCAGCAAATAATCTCGTGATTTTTCTAAGAAAATTTTACCTTATTTGCCATTGGTATTTTATGTGAAATATGAGGCTTCTTTTGTCTTTATGATTTACACTAGAGAAGAGCTCTAGTTTCGTGCACGAGCACTAGTAGTGGAGTAAGAAGACCTGCAGGAAGTCCTGAAGCTCACTTAATATTTTGAACCTCTCCATTCTAGAATTGTGATAACTAAAAGAGTTCATTGATGTATATAGAAGTGTTTATAGTACAGGGCTTAGATTTGTCAGTTATCAGTAGATTTAACTCTTATAACTGACTATAGAAATGTTAGAAAAGTAGAATTTCTATGGACTATTGTGAGGAAAAAGAATTTTAGGAAATTTAATCTGTTGAAATATATGCAGAACTAAGGATTTTACTGTGGTGTACCTGTGTTAGATGTCACACTATAAACTTGATTCTTAGTGTAGTCAGATTTATTAATCTTTTATTTCAGGCTTTCTGGGTTTGTTATAAATTGGAGAAAGAACTTTCCAATTCTGAGATTCTTAAAAATTTTGTCTTGCTTTCTTTTTTCCTTTCATGCATTCATTGTCTTCAGTTAAATTTTTGAAGCTTTGGGAATTTATGCTTGTATAAAGTTTGAGGTTTGGACCCAACTTTATTTTTTTCCCGTTCAATATCTACTTACTGCAATCTAGTCATTGTATAAATGTAGTTTATTCTGTAATTTCAGAGAAAAATCGTCATAATGTCATTTTATTGTGTTCCAACTAAAAGTCTCCTTTGTTTTACTTAGATTTCTAATAGTCAGGAAAATGAAAAATATCTGTTGCATAAAAAATACATGTTGGAGGATCAAATCACTATGCTCGGAATGAAAATAGACACAATAAATAACTGGAACCAGGAGAAAGAAAGGAAATACTGTGAAGACATTGAAATTTTAAAAGAAAAGCATGTCAGTCTTCAAAAGACCATAAAACTGAATGAGGAAAGATTAACAAAAACAATACTCCAACACAGTGGACAGATTAATGCTCTGACCATTGAGAACACAATGCTAAAGTCTAAACTCGAGAATGACAAGCAAAATAAAGAAAGACTGGATAAAAAAGTTAAATTGTACCGTGCTAGACTAGCTGCTGCTATACAGGATTAAGACCAAAGTCAGACATCAAAAAGAGACCTAGAACTTGCTTCCCAGAGAGCAAAAGGCAAATGATTTTGTGTACAGGACAAATTGAATTTTGATGTGTCTAACCTAAAAGAAGATAATGAGCTTCTTTCTCAGAACATTTCTGAAGCTGAAAGTAAATTTAATACTCTGGAAACTGAGCTCCATCGCACAAGAGATGCTCTCAGAGAAAAGACTTTGGTTTTAGAACATGTACAAAGAGACCTAAGTCAAACACAGTGTCAGAAAAAGGAAATTTTACACACATATCAAAGTGCACAAGATAAAGTGAGTAAATACACTGGGAAGCAGGAATCCTTAAAGGAGAGATTATCTCAACTACAAAGTGAAAATATGTTGCTTCAACAGCAACTAGATGATGCTCACAACAAAGCTTCCAGTAAAGAAAAGGTAGTAATTAACATCCAAGACCAATTTCAGGATATTACAAAAAAACTTCAAGCTGAACGTCAAAAGCAAGCTCTTGTAATAGAAGCAAGAAGAAGAAAGAGCAAGAAGAGTTAATCAATGAACATAATCTTTTAAAAGAAAGAATTTATGAGTATGAAAAGGAGGAAATAGAAAGAGAAGTAAGTATCCAGAAAGATAAATATTTTTCAAGCTTCCTGAGAAAATTCAAAGTAATATTTGATTATGGGTTTTTGTTGTTATTATTATTATTATTTTAGAGAGAAAGAGTGCACCTGCACATGAATGGGAGTGAAGCAGAGGTAGAGGGAGAGAGAATCCAAGGAGGGCTCCACATTGGGGAACTCCACCTCATGACCCTGAGATCATGACCTAAATGATTATAGCTGAATTTTGAATCTAGTTGAATATAAAAAATATATAGATTGTAAGTCAGCATAACTTGTATCCAGCCAATAAAAATTAGACTTGAGAGGTGCTTTAATTTGAATAAAATTGTTCTGTCTTCTATGAAAGTTTAAGAAGTTAAGTTATAAATTGTTAATAGATAGTAGGCTGATATTAATAATTTAATCTTATACTGCTAAAATTATTAAAATAATTTTAATCATTGTCATCACATTTTAATACCATGATGAACAGATAAATGGAAAATGCTCAAAATACTACAATGAGTATTTTGAAATTGAGATTCAATTAAGTGCATTAACTGGACAGCTCCAGATTTCCCAAATGAACTGAATAAAAAGTACAGTATCTCAGTACTTTTTATACATATATACATAAGTATAAGTATATATTTATAAGTATAAATATATGTATATGTGTATAGACATATATATTTTTATACATTTATATATTTATGCAAACTATACATGGTAGCTTTTTATACATTTTAGGTTGGTATAATTTTATTCTTATTTATATAAATCTGAATTTTTAGTCTGAAATCATCTGTTCTTATGACCTTTTAATCCTTTGAAGGCACTTACTTTTCATTAAATCATAATTTGGGACAACTGTGGTGAGCTTTAGCAAAACTATATTTGATTTAATCTTCCCACTGCTATTTATAATTTTTTAAGCAATTTTACAAATAATTTGCTCATTTCAAAGCTCGATTACTATCATGTGGGCATAAGTTTGTCCAACACAAAGAGAATTGTACCTCTGTAATTTATTAATTGGGCATTGGATCTCCATTTTCAGATTAATGAGGGGTGGCAGGATTCTTGTGTAGCAGGAATGGAGGTCAGGGAGCTGAGGTCAGAGAGAGAGGTGAAAGCCAGGTTATCTAGGGTCTTGAAGGCCATTAGAATGACTTCACTTATGATCTGAGATAGTTATCTATTAAAAGGATTTGAGCAGAGGATTGAATATGTGAAGAAATCTGACTTTAATTGAAGCCTCTAATAAAAAAGAGGGAAAACATTTCATAATGTAGAATTTACCAATGTTAGTTCCACCTATATACTCATTTCTTTTTGAGACTTCAGTAGATTGGGAAGCTTTGGGAAAATTCATCCACAAGGAATGGATAATGGGGCTGAATTAATTATCTAAGTAACATAATACTGACTAGGCAGGATAACATCTTTTTGTGTCTTTAACCAAATTCATTTAACAGCCATAATGTGTACATGTTAGGAAAAGGAGATGAATTGATGTTTGTAGTGAAATTTTCTAAGTACATAGGTTAAAGTTATATATTGTTAACATAATTTAATAGTAAGATGATTTATAAAACCAGTAAAAGAAATGTCTTATTAGGTAGCTGTGAGACAACTTCAAGAAGAAATGGCCGATACCCTAAAAACACAATCTATGTCAGAGGCTTCACTGGAGGTGACATCACGTTGTCGTATGAATTTAGAAGATGAGGTACAAGACTTAAAGAGAAAACTGGCTCAGATTAGGAATCAGGTATGTATGAAATGTAACATGTCAAGTTAATCTGTAGTTGGTTAAATAATATGAAGTGTTTTAGGATGCTTATTTCCATGGACCACTTCCTTTTGTATTTTCATTATAATTAATTTAGTATAATTTTAGTATCTTCACAGTGTACTTATTTCTTAAACTTTGACTTTCATTCTGCTATTTGTGTTATACTGTTTTTTCTTATAGTAGTTACCCTTAGGAAAGTTGAAACTTACACGTCATTCCTCACAGAAATTGAGACTTTTTTCCTACTAAATAATTTTTTAAAGATTTATTTATTTATTTGTGGTGGAGGAGGGGCAGAGAGGCAAAGGGAGATGGAGAGAATTTCAAGCAGACCCCTGCCCAGCACAGAGGCCCCCACGTTGGCTTCATTCCATGACCCATAAGATCTTGACCTGAACTAAAATCCTGAGTTGGATGCTTAACCAACTGAGCCAGCCAGGTGCCCTAAACAATGTTTTTTAATGATATCTCTGTTACCATGATAAGCTAAGCCGTGTGAAAGCAGAAGATAATGTTTAATGGACTGTTTCAGAAAATTGTCTTATTTCTCATCTTCACTTTTTTGAATGGATACAGAATCTGTACTGATTTCAGGATAACTTGTACAGAAAAGTGATTTCACAAACCAGTTGAACTTAGGCATTTCCTTCATTTTCTTTTCCTTTTCAATATATAATAAATGCACAGAAATATTTAGATCATGTATACTATATACACCCAACAGAGAGAATTAAGAAAATTATCTAGGTCTTGCCATTGGATTTTTTTAAAGCTTTATTGAGATAGATTACACATTCCATACAATTCACCCATTTAATATGTGTAGTTCAATGTTTCTGAGTATATTGATAGAGTTGTGCAACCATTACTACCATCAAGTAGAACATTTTAATTACCCTGAAAAGAAGCCCTTAGTCCTTGCCCCCAGGCTCAGGCAACCACCAGTCTACTTCCCACCTCTATAGAGTTGCCCATTCTGAATATTTCATATATAGGGAATCACACAATGTGTGGTCCTTTGTGACTAGCTTCCTTTGCTTAATGTTTTTAGGGTTCATCTGTGTCATAGCATATATCAGTGCTTCATTCCTTATTAACAAACAGTACTCCATTGTGGGCTAAAACCCTTGTTCATTCATCATTTGATGCACCTTTGGGTTGTTTCCACTTTTTGGCCATTAATAATGCTGCTGTGAACATTCATTTAGTTATTGTCTGGACATCTCTTTTTATTTCCCTGCCATCACATTTTATCCTCTCAGTTAATTGGGTTGATTTCACTCTCTCTTAGTCTTTTTTTTCAGGGGTACAAGTCTGTGATTCATCAGTCTTACACAATTCACAGCACTCAGCATAGGATATACCCTCCCCAATGTTCATCATCCAGCCACCCCATCCCTCGCATCTCCCTCCCCTCCAGCAACCCTCAGTTTGGTTCCTGAAATTAAGAGTTTGTCTCCCTCCCCAGTCCCATATTGTTTCATTTTTTCTTTCCCTACTCCCCAAAACCCCCACATTGCCTCTCAAATTCCTCATATCAGAGAGCTCATATCATAATTGTCTTTCTCTGATTGACTTATTTCCCTCAGCATAATATCCACATCGTTGCAAATGGCAAGATTTCATTTCTTTTGAAGGCTGCATAATATTCCATTGTGTATATATACCACAGCTTCTTTATCCATTCATCTGTTGATGGACATCTAGGTTCTTTCCATCATTTGGCTATTGTGGACATTGCTGTTATAAACATTTGGATGCACATGCCCCTTCGGATACCTACATTTGTATCATTAGGGTAAATACTCAGTAGTGTGGTTGCTGGGTCATAGGGTAGCTCTATTTTCAATTTCTTGAGGAACCTCCATGCTGTTTTCCAGAGTGGCTGCACCAGCTTGCATTCCCACCAACAGTGTAGGAGGGTTCCCCTTTCTTTGCATCCTTGCCAACACCTGATGTTTCCTCACTTGTTAATTTTAGCCATTCTGCCTAGTGTGAGATGGTATCTCAGTGTAGTTTTGATTTATATTTCCTTGATGCCAAGTGATGTTGAACACTTTTTCATCTGCCTGTTGGCCATTTGGATGTCTTCTTTGCAGAAATGTCTGTTCATGTCTTCTGCCCATTTCCTGGTTGGATTATTTGTTCTTTGGGTGTTGAGTACGATAAGTTCTTTATAGATTTTGGATACTAGCCCTTTATCTGATATGTCATTTGCAAATATCTTCTCCCATTCTGTCAGTTGTCTTTTGGTTGTGTTGACTGTTTCCTTTGTTGTGCAAAAGCTTTTGCTCTTGATGAAGTCCCAATAGTTCATTTTTGCCCTTGCTCCCCTTGCTTTTGGTGATGTTTCTAGGAAGAAGTTGTTGTGGCTGAGGTCAAAGAGGTTGCTGCCTGTGTTCTCCTCAAGGATTTTGATGGATTCCTGTCTCACATTGAAGTATTTCATCCATTTGGAGTCTATTTTTGTGTGTGGTATAAGAAGATGGTCCAGTTTCATCCTTCTGCATGTGGCTGTCCAATTTTCCCAACACCATTTCTTGAAGAGACTGTCTTTTTTTCCATTGGACATTCGTTCCTGCTTTGTTGAAGATTAGTTGACCATAGACTTGAGGGTCCATTTCTGGGCTCTCTATTCTATTTCATTGATCTATGTGTCTGTTTTTGTGCCAGTACTATACTGTCTTGATGATGACAGCTTTGTCATAGAGCTTGAAGTCTGGAATTGTGATGCCTCCAGCATCAAGCCCTGCATTAGGCTCCCTTCTCAGCAGAGGGCCTGCTTCTCCCTCTCCCTCTGCAGCTCCCCCTGCTTGTGTTCTCTCTGTCTGTCAAATAAACAAATAAAATGTTAAAAAGAAAAACACAAAAACTTAATTATGTTGAGCATCTCATCTTTTTATGTGTGTTATTATCCATTTCTATATCTTCCTTAAGGACTAAATCAATTACTTTGCCCATTTCTTTATTGAATTGTCTTTTCATTATTGTAAGAGTTCTTTGCATATCGTAAATACAGATCCCTTATCAGATAAAAGATTTTCAAATCTTTTCTCTTATTCAGTAGCTTGCCTTTTCACTTTATTGATGGTGACATTTGAAGCAAAGAAGTTTTTAATTTTGATGAAATATACTTAATCTTTTTTTGTCTTTTAGTGTCATATCTAAGAAACTGTTGCCAAATCCAGTCACAAATGATATACTTATGTTTTTTCTCTAAGAGTTTTATAGTTTTAGCTCTTATGTTTTGAGTTAATGTTGTATATATGCTATAAGGTAGAGGTCCAATTTTATTACTTTGCATGTGGATATCCATTTGTCCCAGTACCATTTGTTAAAAAGACTATTCTTATTCCATTCAATTGTTTTATACCCTCATTGAATGTCAGTTCACCATAATGAAGCAATTTCTTTTTAGACTGTCAATTCTAATACATTGATCTATATGTCTATCTTTATGTCACTATCCAATCAAATTTTATGATCTTCCCTAGTTGTCTTGCAAATTACTCACTCACTTATGTAATAATAAAAAGTCACTGTAGTAGAACTTAACTTTACTCCTGTAGACATTTTTTGCTTCTTAAAAATGAGACTTTTACCAATTATGCCTTGCTGACTCCATGATATGATGAGAAGTTAGGCTCAAAAAGATAGAATCCTGTTTCTTTTCTTCATTCATATCTTTAGTCTCTCACTCAGTGCCTAGCATATCCATTTTCATCAAATCTTGGTTGTAGGATCTGCTGTCTACTATTTACTTCATTATGTTTTATGAACTTGTTATAAAGTGTAGACTCATCCAAAAATTTCACCATCTAGGAAGGAAATGATGAACTCTGGGCCTTCAGCTTTCCTGTTTTGAAATCTTGCTAATCCAAAATTGCAACTCACAGTTAGATACTCTTTTGACCTGGTTCTTGTGCATAACACTGATTTTGATCCTGTCCTTGGCACAGATCCTACATTCTCAGAAAACACAGTTGTCTTTATCCGTCTTCTTTTAGTTTAAATAAAAAGATATGTACTTTAACAGCTCAATACGCAATTAATGGAATAAACATTTATTATATTATTTCAAGAATACAGCTGTAAATTATCAGGTTTTATTTAATGGAGTTATCAGAGACAAATAGTAGATAATCAGTTTGAATTCCAAAAAAAATTTCAAAGCCTGTTTGTATGATATGGGAAAGCTTTGTGGCACAACATAAAGAAGAGATGGTCTTACTTACCTCCCCACATAAACAAGCTTGGACTAAGATAAAGGAGAAGTTATATTTAATTTAAATAGTGCCAAAGGACAGTACATTTGGTTTGCTACTGAAAAGATAAAAATGATTCCATAATGTTCTCTTTATTTCCTCACTGATGAAAGCAGAATAAAGATTGAGTATTAGATTGATTTTAAAATACTTAAAGCTGCCTATTTCTTTTAGAATTTCAGTTAATGGAGATCAGGTAAAAGGTCAAATTTTGGTTATTAAACTATATCTAGTTTTTCAGCTATTATATTTCAAATCATATTGTTGCAACTGCCCCTCAGAACAATGTATTACTTAAACTATCACCCCTGGAGGATTTTACTGGTTACCAAGCACATTTAGATATGGCCTTAGGAAAAACACATACTGGCAACAGGTCTTTGGGGGAAAGGACGATATATGACCATGCAGCTGAGCAGCTGGGGATGCCTGGCTCACTCAGGGCAGAACGCTGCCCGCTTCACAGAAGCAGAGCAGCTGGGAACATCCGGCCTGCTCAGGGTGGAACGAAATACCGCCTGCTTCCCTTTTCCGTTGTCTCTCATTTTTCTTCCCAGAAGCGCCCGTTGTTAGTTAGATGAGTCCTTTGAATGTGCTTGGTTAACTATAAACTTTACCCTCCTTGTTTGTCCACAAGATAGGCGACTAATGTTTGACCTTCATCCGCTCTTCTGTGGGCTATTGTTTCTATCTAATATAAGTGCGACTGAG